AATAGAGTGAGATTTCTGTGTACAGATTCGCGACCCTTCCTTCTAGGAATTTCCAAGTGTAGATTGTGAGATCTCTCTCTTTTCTGCGTTCCAGTGAGTACAAGCCAAGTGCTTCCAAGCATTCCCAGTAGTTGAGGTGTTTGACGGAATATATATGTGCAGTAAAGGTTCTCTGCACACTTTCTAGATCTGCAATCTCACCTGGTTTGAACTGAGATGTTTATGTACAGCAGTATTCCAGCTTAGAGAGAACAAGTGATTTAAAAAAGGATCATCATTGGCTTGGCATATCTTGTTTTGAACGTTCTCATTATCCATCCTATCATTTCCTTCGCAGTTGTGATAGTGGCACTGTTGTGATCCTTGAAGGTGATATCCAGTCTCATGCAGATCCTAGTATCGTCTGCAAAGGATTACACTGTGCTGTGGATTGCATCTCTATTTCTGATATGAGGATGAGGAACAGGATGGGGGCAAGTACTGTGGAACAGAGCTTTTTACTATGGTAACATCCGATTTAACTCTGTTTACCACTACTCTTTGTGTTCGATTGGTTAGAAAGTTGAAGGTCCACCTACTTACTCTGCCAGTTATTCATTTATGACCAGGTGAATCACAAAAACGTCTTCACTTCCTTGAACACTTTGGCCACATAGAGCGTCATTGTTTCAACGCCACCTGATTTGACTTGTCCACAGTTTAACTCGTGAATATGGCCATAAAAAAATAACCTCAGTGGGAAGAATTAGTGGTGATACCTAGCTTAAAAGAAATAACTATTTGCATTTCAACTTTTAATGTCTCAGATTACTGTTTCACGGGAGGGAGAGATACTGGTGATACTTCACTCGTTAATGGTAACTTAGGAGAGTTAATGCATCTCGGTTCACCCTGGAGATTGTCAGACCACGGCTTGAACGTCACGAAATACACACGGATACGTCTATGAGTGACCGATGTGACTTAACTGGTCACTTACTCATTCGCTACATCGTCACAGCTTGTTGAAGTCACTCGTCGCAATCCTTCTCTCGGTGCTCAAGCACGTCTTACATAGTCAACTTCTGCTGATGCACTGTTTGGCAGGTACAGCTGCCAGCTGTGATTACATAGATGGATTAAGCAATGTGTATTCCTTGACTTCTAGTGTAAATAGCTGAGTATAATGCCACTATGTTATTAGGCTAGAGGCATATTACTGCATATCTTTAAGAACTTAGGAATAGAAACTTCTTCAGATAAACATATGAATGAATTATGGTACGGATTTTCTTGTTGGAGAGGAGAGTCTTGTTACACACGTGTAAGGAAAATTTGTGCATATTATCTACATTCAATATAGATCCAATTTAGTTGCAATATAAATCTATATGGTTATAACAGGTAAGATGCGAGTTTATGTTTCAATGTACAATATTCGAACCCCCCTTGGCTGCAGCTGCCTCTACCATTGTGAGAACGAAGTGATGGGGGCCCAGCCCCCTTACTGCTTCTCCCCATGCGAAGACTTTTATCCACACATGCTGTTGGTGATAAAATCAAATAATCAAATAAAGCCCTAAACTGACAAGGGTTATGCAGCGCTGTAGGGCAGAAAATAGTGCCGGGGTTATAAACAGCTAAGTGGAGAGGGGATCAGAGGTGAGGGAAGAAAAGGGCAGGAATGGACGCTAAGGGCTACGTGTCAAAGTTCGTATAGTAAAGCAGTTGCTGAAAAAAAAGTAAAAAAGTGATCGTAAGTCGAAAGCAGGACCGTCTGCAAGAAGGAAAGATAAGGTAAGAGCAGTAGGGCGGCGGCGTCGATGGAGGTAAATTCTGCGAGCTCACTGGTAATCCATCTGTATAAACAATGACAGCATGGGCATGCTACTGGAAGTGATCAAGAAAAAGAGCGAGAAGCACCCATAGGAAGGAGAGCTTTGGCGCAGGGCAGTAGAGGAGAGCAGACACGAACCGTCGGCACCTCCCAAGGGGGAAGGGAAAAGTCAGACGCTACATGAATATACAAGGGAGGCAACTGGAGAGAAGACCGGAGTGAGTGAAGACGAAGAGAAAACGGTCACAGTAAGCAGGGGTGCTGAACAAATATCGGGCTTCTACTGACGTCTGAGACTAACCTATACATAGAAGGAGCACGAAGGTGATGGGAGTGACAAAGTAACGAAGCCAATACGCATCACAACGATCGGCTAAGGAACATTCGCCTCAGAATAGAGGCTTTCAACAGGGGATGAACGAAAGGGACGAAGGCATGAACGTAGACCTTGATGATGAAGTGGACCTAACATAGAAAGAGTTGTTGGAAAAGCCGCAGAATAGATTTGGTCATCATAATCCAGCTTGAACAAGACTAGGGTGGAATGCAAATGGAGTAGAGTCCGGCGATTTGCTCCCCATGAACGGTTCACAAGAATTATAAGATTCAACAGACCATGGCCTTCAACAAGAAAATGTGAGGTTTCAACCGGCGATCGAATAAAAGACCAAGAAAAATTACCGTATCACGTTCTGGGATACGTGAGCCGTGTAAATACAATGAAATACCTGGGACAAGAGGACGTCTAGTGAAGGTAATGAAATGGGTTTTCGCTCAACAAAATTTAAATCCATGAGAAGTGGCCCAATGCGAAACACAATCACATCCTGAAGGGAGGCCCCTACTAGGTGACACTCAGCACCTGAGTAAGCATATTTGGTCATCACATAAAGTGACAAATATGCGATGGAAGAACGGAAGGCAGGTCACTTACAGTCAAAAGAAAAAGGGTAGTGCTAAGGACACAACCTTGTGGGACTCCCTCGGCCTGAACAAAGTTTGAGGAAAGCTAGGCGCCAGCACGGATAAGAAAGCAGCAAGGAAGGTTGGTAGATTACCGCGGAGGCCTAAGGCATGTTTAGCTATAATGTTATACTTCCAAGTGGTGTCGTATGCCTTCTCAAGATCAAAAAAGACTACTAGGCCGGAGTGTTTATTAGCAAAGGCATTTCACACATACGTATCTAAGTGGAGCAAGGGGTCCAAAGAGCGGCACTTGTGAACGCCATATTGGCGAGAAGACTATTGCGAGTCTCTAAAAGCATATCAGCCTATTCACCAATCGTTCCATCACATTGCAGACTACACTGGTCAGAGCAAAGGGATGATAGTGAGAGGTATCAAGCCCCGAGATGCCTGGTTTGTGAAACTGTAGTACAATGGCAGATTTCCATTGTTGAGGGAGAACACCTCACGTCCAAAGAAGACTGAGTTTCCCTCTCCACCATTGTCGAATTAAGAAGCAATTTTCTGAATGTTTGAAATTGCTCCATTGAGAGTTTTGGAAGTTATTTGACCCATTCCACTAAAAGTAAAATATTCTGACTAAAAAAACATCCATTACTTTTACAGTCAGCATTCCAATTAAAATGTTCTAAAGTCAGAAAACGTTTTAATGGGTTCAGGAACCATGGTGACAGGGATAGTGAACATGCCAATTGTTCCAAAAGTCTGGTCCTCATTACCATTCAAATGTAGTGAATATCTGAAGCTTATCGGATGAGGAATTCTAATGTTATGAGGGGAAAGAAAAAAGAAAGTTGGAAGGATGAAAAACTAAATATATTCCGCAACCACTTCAAGGACCATCTTTAGTGAAATCCAACAACACCAGCAAATAAATATGCTAGGAAACAAAAAATAAGAATAAAGAGAAAAAATGAACAAAAAAAGGAGAGAAAGAAAGAATGGAAGGAATAGTGCAACAAAGCTCGAAAGAAAAATAGGGCGACGAATTATGAGCTGATAAGAGAACACGAGGAACAGATGTAATGAGTCATGGCAGTTATGCAGGGTTCTGCATGACATTGTAATGTACATATAGTGGAGAAGTGTGCCATAATAGTATGAATGTTATAACTGTAAATAATAATTTTATAATTCATAATGTGCATTTGGGGGCACTGTAAAGTACTCTAAATGAAATTATAAAGAAATCCTGCTAGGTAGTTATTTTCCAACTGTGTTTGGGTACGCGGGGTAAGCGTGGCTTGGGGGAGTCACGGGGGATCAGCATGGTGTGGAGGCTGGCGTCGGAGATGCTGTGTGTTTAAGCGAAGTTTGTAGTTGTGTACTCCTTTTGTTTAACCAACTGAAGCCATAGGCTCCTCTTTGGCTTACCTGTATGCCCACCTAGTCTCTGACATGGTCAGGGTGCTGTGGGATGAGTGAGGAAATAAGAAATGGGGTTTGTAGTGGAGTAGTGACGGCCTGGCGCTGACTAGGCCTAGTGGTTATGGTGGCTGGACCTCCAGCCCGCTGTTTCTTGTGTACCCTCATTTGGGCGTTTAGGATTAATGTGTTTCTAGAGTGTGTATTTAATGTTATGTTGAATAAATAGATATATTTTCCTAACTGGGATTTTTGCCTAACCCTCTGTTAACCAACCCATTGAAGTAACACATACTGGTTTAGCGCTTTCTGTTTTGACTGGGATAGCCCTGGGTGGCCTGTTCATGCTTGAGATGTGTGTAACTTTTACCTTTGCCGTTAGACAAAGCTCAAGCCCCCAGCTATCCCACATTTCTGCGTAACAATGGCCATTTACCTCGCCTTGCCTGGTAACTGAAAGATGGTCCTTTTAACTATGAGCTGAGGACTGTACCACTTAGCTCATTGTCTTTTCCCTATATATATGACCTATAACAATCATAATCGGAAAAAATGCCTTATAAAAGAAAATCAGTCCAATCACTAGCCTAGCACTGTGAGGAGAAGAAAAATGAGAACAGTTGTAAGTACATGAAATATATTAAAAAGATTACCAAAGAAAGTGTTGACAGTACACTGGACAGTACACTGGACAGTACACTGGACAGTACACTGGACAGTAGGCCGTCTCAGGTAACTACGTTATGATAAGATCAGAGGAAGCCAGCAGTGTGAAATCCCAGCGGATGCTGGTATCCGGTGCTTTCTTTGCTATGAGGCATAAATCTTCTTACGTTAAACACGTTCTGGAGTATCTCAGGTGGTCACTAACGCTCCGTCCACAAGTAGAGATCTTCCTCTCATTCAGAAGCTGCGATGATTAACTGCACTGCTGTCACTGACTACCCGGGATGGGTCACTGCTGGTACCTATCATAAGTGCGTTATTGGCTTTCTGGGAACTATAGGTGAGTGAGAAGAGTACAATGGTGATTCTGTGGTATTGTTGAAGAGAGCTGTTACCCATAAATAAGAAGTGTCATGGTAGAGTTTAGAAAGTAAATGTTTAATTTTAATGCGACGAAAGGTTGAATATATATATATATATATATATATATATATATATATATATATATATATATATATATATATATATAATATATATATAATACATAAGAAGGAAGGAACACTGCAACATGCCTGCTGACCCATGCGAAGCAGGTCCATGCCACCCCCTGGCCTAGAACAATAACCACCTAGTCATGTCACTTCCACTTAAGGAAGGAGCACGGCACCAGACCAGGTAGCCCAAGCTAGTCAGGTCCAACTCACACCCACTCATGTATTTATCAAACCCATTTTTAAAACTACACAAGGTCTTAGTTTCTATGACGGTACTCGGGAGTTTGTTCCACTCATCCACAACTATTACCAAACCAGTGCTTTCCTATGTCCTTCCTTAATCTGAACTTTTCCAACTTGAAACAATTGCTGCGAGTCCTGTCTTGACTGGATATTTTCAGCACGCTATTTACATCCCCTTTATTTATTCCTGTTTTCCATTTATACACCTCGATCATATCCCCCCTAATTCTACGCCTTTCTAGAGAGTGCAGATTCAGGGCCTCAGTCTATCCTCATAGGGAAGATTTCTGATACATGGGATCAGCTTTGTCATCCTCCTCTTAACGTTTTCCAGTGCATTTATATCCATTCTGTAATACGGTGACCAGAACTGAGCAGCATAGTCTAAATGGGACCTAACCAAGGATATATTGAGTTGAAGAACAACCTGAAGACTTCTATTATTTATACTTCTAGATATGAAGCCAAGGATTCTGTTAGCTTTATTGCGAACACTTATGCACTGTTGTCTTGGTTTCAGATTACTGCTAACCAGAACTTCTAAATCCTTTTCGCAGTCAGTAGTATTAAGATCTACACTATTCAGTTTATAAGTGGCATGGTTATTGTCCTGTCCAACATTTAGAGCTTTGCATTTGTCAATATTAAACTGCATCTGCCACTTCTCCGACCATTGCATCAGTCTATTCAAATCAACCTGGAGTGCTCTAGTGTCCTCATTAGATTGAATTGGACGGCCTATTTTGGTGTCATCAGCAAATTTGCTTATGTCGCTATTTATTCCCTCATCTATTTCGTTTATGTAAATTGTGAACAACAAAGGGCCTAACACGGACCCCTGAGGAACATCGCTTGCGACGTGCCCCCATTCTGATTTCTCCCCATTTATGCAAAGTCTTTGCTGCCTATTTGTCAACCATGCCTCTACCCATTTGGCTGAAATAGCAACGCTCTTCTTGCCGAATAAGGCAAGCGAAAATTTATGTTTACAATAATTTCGCAAAAGTCATTCTGAACCTGACGAAGAAAATATATTTCACTGTGTTTTGTTTGTTCTTAATTTATTGTAAACATATTTAAAATATATTTAATTGGATTAGGCTAAATTAAATTGCACTTGTTATAATAAGGTTATGTAAGTTTTCTAAGGTTCTTTTGGTACAAAATCATTAATTATTATATTAACATAAATGAAAAATATATCTTTAAATGTATTAAAAGCGAATATGGGAATGGATAAATTTAAATGACCACTTTTACCTATTCGGCACGATATATACACACACATAAACTGCAGTAGTAAACAGACAATCTTAACAATACGAAACAAGCCACATGGGGGTGGAAATCTTTTGCTGTATGGACTTACACATTCTCATGCGTCGTCAAGAGTCATGTAATGTTGCAAGACAGGAACATATAGGAGGGGAAACTCTTTGAGGCAAGGCTGAAGGGATAATTGCAATCCATGATACAGATCGAGGACCGTTACTTACCCAACACCTTGCTTCCCAATCCTCTCTCACCCTTCCTGGGTGAGAGGAAGTAGCGGACCACAAAGGTTTATACAAAAAGCAAGTTACAGAATATGAAGGAAACGCAGTAGTCAGCCCAAAACCTCTTCTAATCGATATCAACTGACCTATTGCCAACTGAAGAAGCCTACACAGTAGGCTTCTTCAGTCGAGTACAGAAGAGTTAGCAGAAGAAAGAGAGATGTGAAGACGATGTAATCAGTCCATCATCCTTGAAGACGTAGTTTTGAGGTGGTCAGTCCCTCAGCCTGGAGAAGAGCATTTGTTCCATAGTCTGAAACAATGTGTCAGGAGGTGAGATGTACGCCACTAGCAGAAGAAAGAAGGAAATCATTGAGTGGTTACGTCCCTCTGACACAGGGAATATTAAAATTGTATAAAAGAAGCCTACCGAGTAGGTGAAACTTCTCGAAGATATATAACTGTTGCATGTGTGTCTTGCCTAACTACCTGTCGGTATTTTATACCTTTTAAATATTCACTCTGTCAGACACTGCAACACAACTGTTTTCATAACGTCGCAATCAGTGGATTCACCATCACCCAAAACTGCAGTAAACTCCTGTGCTTTGCTGTATGATGCTGTGTGAACGAGTGCTGCCCAATGCTTGATGGTCCTTATTGTGCTGGAGCCTGATTTTCAAGATTCGAAAACTTGTTCAGGCTCAGAATCGGATAACCAAGGTACTAGCAACACAGTTTTCTGAATACTGAAATTGTCAGCCACAGTAAGCTAAAATTTCCTCCTCTTCTGTCTGTCAAACTCCTTAGCAAATCCACGTTGTTCCCTGACTGTCTCAAGTTGAATTTAGTCAACTCAATCACTAAAGAAGGTTATCTCCCCCCCCCCTTCTCCCTCGAGACAATCCCGACTCACCACTAATTTCCCGAAATGGCTGTTGGTTCGGCTGCTCAGGAGTTTGCAGTAAGAATTCGTTGATACTCTATGCCAATAGCACGAGCAATTCGTCAGCAGCGCTGTAGAGATAATCTGGACAAATTTTGCACTCACCAGTCGCCAAAAACGTGTTGGTGGCATAACTACAATAAACGCTGACTGCAATACTCTCAATGCAACACGAAGTAGTAGAACAGAACGACTTTGCTGGTTCCACCGCAATACTGAAGGCAGGTGCATAGAAACAATGCGGGGAGACAGGATCCCAGGTGTAGACAGGAACACAGGTGTAGACTATGGCCCTTGACACCTTGCTGTAGTACAATAACCAATTAGGAACGAGCAAAAGGCAGCAGAGAGAATAAATGGTTGTGCTTCCTTCATCAAATAAGCTTGTATTTACTATATATATAGCCTATGTACAGTATTTACAGCAAAAATACGAGCACAAGATACGGCAAGAACCGCAGTGACCAGCAGTGAAGGAAAGTCTGCCAACGCTGCTTCATGAGCGACTCATGTCACTTCACAATTTTGGCGGGCTTCCTTGTGATTGGCTAATTGAACCAAGGTACTTCTATAACGACGGGCCCCCTGATCATTATATCCTCAGCACGTAGTTCGCTGGTAGAGAGGCATGCCTATATTGATTTGTGACATACGGAAAATAAAATTTAACCTAGTCTGAGCATGCCACTCACCTTCGTCATCATGTTCCTTAAGCTTCTTAATTCCCATTATCAATTACTAACGAAATAATTTCATCGCGTCCATAATATCCCTCATCTTAACTCCATCATGACCCTAACCTCCTTGCATATATCCCTCTCCCCCTAAATCACGCCCCTCACCTCCCACATCATGTCCCCCTTAGTGCATGTCCCTCGCTCTCCTTTTCACATACTTCTCACACTGGCAGGTAACAGCATCAGTTTGTGGTGTCTAGTTCAGAGTGCGAGTACCAACAAGGCCACCAAGTTCCACATGATCTTTGTATTCAGCGTCTTACTGGCTATCTGCTTAGTCACTCTGCCCTCCGTCTCTGTTATCAACTACATCAGTGCATTCTGCAAATCCAGGTGGTTTCGCGAGGAGCTCTTCATATCCATATCCATTAGTAGTTCCTTTCTTCTCCAGCTTGAAAGGATCAACTTCACTGCAATTGCTATTTTCAGGTTTGTTTGAAAATATATGTATTTTTTATAGTAACATATATATATATATATTATATATATATATATATATATATATTATATATATATATATATATATATATATATATATATATATATATAAAGTCGTGCCGAATAGGCAGAACTTGCGATCTTGGCTTAAATAGCAACTATCATCTTGCCAAATAGGACAAGCGAAAATTTGTGTATGCAATAATTTCGCCAAAATCTTTCTGAACCTAACGAAAAAAATATATTTCACTGTGTTTGTTTAGTATTAAATTATTGTAAACAAATCTAAAATATATTTAGTTGGGTTAGGCTAAAATAAATTGCTCTTGTTATAATAAGGTTAGGTAAGTTTTTTAAGATTCTTTTAGTGCAAAATTATAAATTTTTACATTAACATTATTGAAAAAAATCTATCTTTAAACTTATAAGAGAAAATTTTAGAAAGGACTTAATTTTAAATGAGTTCTTGCTAACTGACCAGTTTTACATATTCGGCACAACATTATATATATATATATATATATATATATATATATATATATTATATATATTATATATAATATATATATATATATATATATATATATATATATATATATATACTTGACGTGCTGTTGGAGTGTGAGCAAAGTAACATTTATGAAGGGGTTCAGGGAAACCGGCAGGCCGGACTTGAATCCTGGAGATGGGAAGTACAGTGCCTGCACTCTGAAGGAGGGGTGTTAATGTTGCAGTTTAAAAACTGTAGTGTAAAGCACCCTTCTGGCAAGACAGTGATGGAGTGAATGATGGTGAAAGTTTTTCTTTTTCGGGCCACCCTGCCTTGGTGGGAATCGGCCAGTGTGATAATAAAAAAAAATATGTATATATATATATATATATATATATATATATATATATATATATTTTATTATATATATATATTATATAATATTATATTTATATATATATATATTAATATATATATATATATATATTTATATATATATATATATATATATATATTTATATATATATATATATATTATATTTATTTATTTCCTTTGCCTCTTGGCTGGCCCAAATTCTCACTCCCTTTCTTGGTACTTTTCTCCTGCTCAACTCGGTCACTTTCAAGACTTCATTGAACGTGTTCGTCTTCTATCGACCTGTAAGACGCTATGTCTTGATGTTGAATTCCTCTTTATTAATGCATGTTTTGATGAGGATCTCAATTTTTCTAGAATTAAGGCTATGAAATGCTATTTTAACTTACTATAACCACAGATATCTTCCTTGATTTTATTCGCCTTTGCATGGACTCGTAACTTCTTTCCCATTCAAAGTTAATTTTGTTCTCACACCTTCGGTGTCACTTAGGGTTCTCTTCTGTCCCCTGTTTTTGCTAACCATTGTATGAAATGCTTCGATACTGTTATACTTCCTCCTGTTGGTGAGCACGCTACCCTCTCGTTTTGCTGTGTAAATAACATTTTTGTTCTTTGGCCTCATGACTATTGTCTCTCTTAACCATTTCTCGATGCCCTTAACAATCTTGCACTTTCCATCAAGTTCAAAACTGAATGGGAATCTAATTCTTTACATCCTTTCCTTAATGTCCATCACTCGGCTACAGGCTTTTCTTTCTCTGCTTATAGCGAACCTATGCACAGTGATATGTACATTGACTACTTTTATGACGATGTTTCTTGTCTAGAAAAGTGTTCTTATCTCTCTCTCTATCTCTCTTTCCGATCCCTTTGCATTTGTGACCCTCACTTTCTTGACTCGTTAATTTCCAATCATCGTAATTCGTTATCTCGTCTTGGCTACCCTTTCATAAACTTGCCTTGTCACGTGCTAAACGGACTTTCTTCTCTCACAAACTCTCTACTTCTGTGAGATCTCTTGTTCTTTGCTTTCCCAATATTTTAAGTGTCTCACATCTTAACTTTCTCCATTCCTAGATATCTAACTTACTTTTCGTCAAACTAACCTTTCGTAGTAATCTAGTTCGTACTTCTATTCACGCTTCCCGAGTCTGCTCCATTTTCTATTCCTTTTGTCCTCTCAAATACTTTGAAAAAACTGGCCGCTCTATTTATGACAGATTTCAAGAGCGTAATAGAAGTGTTAGACTTGCTGACTGTTGATTGGTGTCCTGCCAAAACAGTCCACCCTGCTTCTAGCCTTCAAAGACGCCGTCTTGCTGAATCATGGCTTATGCACAACTTTCCCAATATGAATCTTAGTCCTGGCTTTATGTTAGTAGATGTCTTCCTTTCACATTACGTTGTAAATGCTCCAATCTTAAGAATACGGTAGATTTAACCGACCTTTATCAATTTCTCTCCTTACCTGTTCTCCTTTCCTTTTCTTAGAGAGTGGCATAGCTCCCTAACGGGCTGCCTTTAGACCACTCATCCACAGATGTCTCAAAAAGCTAGGTATCCTTGTTACAAGATATATTTCTTCGTAGCCCATACAGACCAGTGAGCCTCAGGCAGGGTTTCCATTTATTTTATTCTCCTCCTGTACGTTCTGGCCACACTAGCGATTTTATATCAATGTACCAAACAGAGGTATTTATAGGTTTCGAACGCATATCCGGAGAGTCATAGCTCCCCAACGTGACGCCATGGAGAATTGAGACACTTATGTAACACATAGGAATCTTTATTGAAGAAATGTTTCGCCACACAGTGGCTTCATCAGTCCAATACAAAGTAGAAATGGATAAGGAGAGGATGAGTTTGAGGCAATCAGTCCCTCAACCTGGAATCGATGTGTTTAGTCCATCACTCTTGTAGGAAGTGCAGCATAGGGCCAGAGAGGTGGCTTATATACTGCAGTCAGACGAGTTGAAGCAGGAGGCGGGGGGATCACAGTGGGACCTGTCACTAGTGATCCCGCCTCCTGCTTCGACTCATCTGACTGCAGTATATAAGCCACCTCTCTTGCCCTATACTGTACTTCCTACAAGAGTGATGGACTAAACACATCGATTGCAGGTTGAGGGACTGATTATCTCAAACTCCTCCTCTCCTTACCCATTTCTACTTTGTATTGGACTGATGAAGCCACTGTGTGGCGAAACGTTTCTTCAATAAAGATTCCTATGTGTTGCATAAGTGTCTCAATTCTTCAACTTGTCGGTTTTTAAACCATTCATCACACGTGACGCCATGAACTACTCAGCTACAGATAGCCCAAAATGCTAGGTCCTTTGATACAAAATCGCTTGTGTGGTCAAAACATAAAAGGACAATATCTAGAAATTATGCCCTAGGTTTACTCGTGTGCCTGGCACTAGGAAGAAACTTGGCTTGTAACCAGGCTACCTAGCTTCTTCAGACAACTGTAGCTGTGTGGTCTAAGGTGTCATTGTGGAAACAAAGCCATAATCGTAAACAGCAACAAACGTGGATTCGAATCCTGCTGGCCACTATGTCTTTATCTATATTCCTATATATTTATTTTTAATATGGAATTACACTAAAAAAACAATAATATTTTTGTGTATTGGTGTGTTGCTCAGGTGCGTTGCTGTGTGGCGGCCCTACATGTTCCATAAGTTATCCACGGTGACATGCGTATTGGTGATGGAGGGGGTACTCTGCCTTTACGCTTTTCTGCCCTGGATTCTAGGTCTCTGCCTGGTAGGTTGTACCACGGATAACAGTTCTAGTATACTATAAACTGATGTTTATTACGTTTGAAATTTGTTTTGAGCCCAAAGACATGTTAATGTTTGGAACAATTCTAATGGAGGAGAGGAACTAAGATGAGGCTAAGTATTGGGTATTAGATACTGAATATGAGATTACGGAATTAAGCGTTCAGCTTATTGTTAGAAATTCAATTGAGGGGATGGGAGTTCGGCTGAGGTAAACGATATCTGCTGAGAGGGAAAGATATTTATAGAGGGATATGAACCTGGGTGAGGGTAAGAGTTCCTCTGAGAGGAAGTTGTCTGATTCATGGTTTTCTGTTTAGAACGACGAATAAGCCTGAGAACTGGAAATAAAGTTTGGAAGATATTGTCCAGTGTAGTTTAAAGAGCTAGGAGTAGACTAAAACATGTGCTGATACATGTTTTTTCAATAAATTCGTATTCATATTTCTTGACTACAGGGATACGATAGGATCACCTACAGTGGAAAGTACTCATCTGTGAGATTTGGGGAGAACTCTGTGTTACACAAGATGGTCTTCACTTGGTACAGCGTTAACTACTGCCTTACATTCATGGCCACACTCTTCGCATATTTATTCATGATAGCGACGGTAAGTGTTCACTCTCGACGTACCCAGTGCCAGGCAAGACTAACATTCATAACTGTCCATGTCGACCTAACAGGCACCAGGCATGATTAATGTTTATAATATTGTGAAGTGCCGAGAATCCATGCATCAGGTTAATCATGCTAGTAGTAAGAAACAATGTCTGAATCTCATAATAGTCAAGTAAAAAAAAAAATGCTACAAACAGAAAATGCGTTCAAGTTTCATTAAATTTAACCTTCACAATTAAACTAATGAATGTCATCTAATACGTATTTTTTTATATGTCCTTTAGATTATTCTTCAAGAGAAAAAGTTGTCAGTTGATCAGAGAAGCGCCACGACCATGGACCATGTCTACTTCAGCATCCACGTGGTAATATTAACGAATCTTGTGCTGGATGGTCCACATGTCATCGTCCACCTGCTCAGCAACCAGCGTCTAGCATCCATCATCACCCACATGATTTTCTTCCTCCACTTAGTAATTGATCCCATGGTCTTTGTAGGTTTTAACCTACATTACCGACGCGCTGTTCTTCACCGTATGTATAAATGTCTGCCCGTCGCTATTTCCTCCAAACTTAGACCTCTAGAACCAAACGACGACACACTGAGGATGCAAGATACACCTCTGGAAAAGTGCTCAGGGCAGCCAGAAGGAGTTTACAACACTTGTGTCATTAAATATTAATTGCTCCCTAATAGTGGTTAAGAACACTTCATTATTATCACGGAGGAAATATTGCCCCAAGTTTTAGCTGACGTCTTTTGCAAGATGAACATCAACTAACACAATATACTATAGAAAAACTGCTGTGTAAATTACGGTAGTTCAAACAATAATATATAATTTTTCCAAAACCTAAAGAATTAATTGAGTATATCGAGCAAGTTGTGATGAGAGAGATTACAATTAAACCTAAATGACTTTTACACTAGACAGAGGAAATATAAGTTTCCATTAAATTATGTTACATCAGAAAAGAACTAAATAACGAGGATGGAAACAGAGGGAGTGAATGATTCTGTGATATGTATGATCATGCTTTAACTAAAACTATGAAACACGTCTGAGGAAAGATCAAGAGCCCTGAGGCTTGGTTATTTCTCTGGGTGAAGCAGGTTCATTCTGCACACGTGAAAAGTTCCTCGGGAATGGGTGTTATAGTGTAGGGTGGGGAGCAGTCCAGGCTAATATTGATGTCTTTGTCACCAAGTTGGGAGAATCCAGAAAATTCTTTAAGTAAACAATGTTATTTTCTCTTCATTGTTACATATACATAGAAATCACACCAGCTAGTGATTTTGTGTGAACACACAAAAACACACACATACATACATACACAGACATGAACGATCATGTACACGCGCACACACACATGCATATGCTTGTGAGTGTGTGTGTGCTTGTGTGTATGCGTACGTGTTGTTAGGTAAGACACATATGCAACAGTTAGGTATCTTTATTTCGAAACGTTTCGCCTACACAGTAGGCTTCTTCAGTCGAGTACAGAAAAGTTGATAGAGGTAGAAGATACTTGAAGACGATGTAATCAGTCCATCACCTTTAGAGTTTTGAGGTGGTCAGTCCCTCAGTCTGGAGAAGAGCATTGTTCCATAGTATGAAACTGAGGGACTGACCACCTCAAAACTTTAAGGGTGATGGACTGATTACATCGTCTTCAAGTATCTTCTACCTCTATCAACTTTTCTGTACTCGACTGAAGAAGCCTACTGTGTAGGCGAAACGTTTCGAAATAAAGATACCTAACTGTTGCATATGTGTCTTACCTAACAACCTGTCGGTATTTTATACCATTTTAATGCTCATGCGTACCTGTGTATGTGAGCAATGATCTATTTGTAATCTTCATCTACGGTAGCGTAGTTGTGCTCGTTCAGTTCCTTCTTCAATACTCTGTTTATCATTCATTTTTAAATTACAACGCTTATTAATTTAACTTTTAATGCATTGTATTGGTCAGTCTCTTTCACAAGAAAAATGTCATACGATCCTTTCCGTTTCACTTTTTCTTCAATTTGTAACCATGACCTCTTGTTGTCCCTGTTGCAGCTACTTCATCTAATCTTTCAAGTCCCTTCAGTACTTTATATGGTGTTATCATATCTCCTCTTTTTCCCTTATTAGCCAAAAGTCATTTCGAATATTTTAAACCATAAATCATGATTCGCACAGCTCAGCTTTGGCAACCATGTATGGCTGTTCTTAAATTTTCTAACTTATAAGAACATAAGAAAGGAGGAACACTGCAGAAGGCCTGTTGGCCCATACTGATCAAGCCCTTTACAATCCAACCCACTAACAGAAAAATTGCCCAACCCACTTTCAGTGCTACCCTAACAATAAGCTTTGATAAATCTATTTACTCATGTGCAAGTCCCACTCAAATCCGACCCCTCTCACTTATGTATTTATCCAACCTAAACGTGAAACTACCAAAGGTTTTAGCCTCAATAACCCTACTAGGCAGACTGTTCCACTCATCAAGTACCCTATTTCTAAGCCAATACTTTCTATATCCTTTCTAAATCTAAAATTATGTAATTTGAATTCATTATTGTGATTGTTCATATGTTCATAATTGGGGACAACACAACCGCTGCGTGTTCAGTTTTGGTCTTAAATAAGTGATATACAACTTTCTTAATAAGTAAGACATGTGCAACAACTGTGTATCTTCATCATTGAATGAAACGTTTACGCCAACACAGGAGGCTTCGTCAGTCGAATACAGAGAAGATTAAACTGGAGGCAGCAGGTGTAGTAACGATATAAAGTTGATGTAATGAGTCCATCAAGCTATAGAAATAGTGTTCCAGGTAATCAGTCCCTCAGCCTGCAAAACTGTTCAGCTCCATTGTCTGGAACAATGTGAAGCTGAAGCATAAGAATGCAGTTTTAAATACTACTACACCTACTGTTTCCAATTTAAACTTCTCTGTATTTGACTGAAGCAGCTCACTGTGTAGGCGAAACGTTTCAGTCAGCAATAATAATAATCAAATGTTGCAAATGTGTTTTAATTTTCAGCTTGTCGATATTATACATCATTTTCAATATAGTTTGATACAGCAACACAACGGTACAGAGGACATCTTCCACACAGCAACACAACGGTACAGAGGACATCTTCCACACAGCAACACAACGGTACAGAGGACATCTTCCACACAGCAACACAACGGTACAGAGGACATCTTCCACACAGCAACACAACGGTACAGAGGACATCTTCCACACAGCAACACAACGGTACAGAGGACATCTTCCACACAGCAACACAACGGTACAGAGGACATCTTCCACACAGCAACACAACGGTACAGAGGACATCTTCCACACAGCAACACAACGGTACAGAGGACATCTTCCACACAGCAACACAACGGTACAGAGGACATCTTCCACACAGCAACACAACGGTACAGAGGACATCTTCCACACAGCAACACAACGGTACAGAGGACATCTTCCCCACAGCAACACAACGGTACAGAGGACATCTTCCACACAGCAACACAACGGTACAGAGGACATCTTCCACACAGCAACACAACGGTACAGAGGACATCTTCCACACAGCAACACAACGGTACAGAGGACATCTTCCACACAGCAACACAACGGCACAGAGGACATCTTCCACACAGCAACACAACGGTACAGAGGACATCTTCCACAACGTCAATGTTTAACTGCTAGTTATAAGTGAAAAGATTGAGATTGTTTAGCATGGACCAGTAGGCACTCTGTAGTGTTCTTCAAATTCTTGCACTCTTAATTCTACCAGTGGTTCCCGCCTTCTGCAAAGTCTTCGAAACCTTCATGCCTCACCTTCGACAGTATTTATGACTTCACTTATATGCGTATTCAGCCTCACATTGTGTACTCGCCTAATTGTGGTTGCAGGGGTCGAGACTCAGCTCCTGGCCCCGCCTCGTCACTGAGTGCTACTAGGTCATCTCTCCCCTCTGCTCCATGAGCTTTATCATACTTCGTCTTAAAGCTATGTATGGTTCCTGCCGCCACTGCCTCACTTGCTAGGCTATTCCACTTCCTGACTACTCTATGACTGAAGAAATACTTCTTAACATCCCTTTGACTCATCTGGATCTTCAACTTCCAACTGTGACCCCTTGTTTCTGTGTCCCTTTTCTGGAACATCTCGTCTCTGCCCGCCTTGTGTATTCCACGCAGTAGTTTGCATGTCGTTATCATGTCTCCCCTAACCCTCCAGTCCTCCAGTGTCGTCAGGCCGAGTTCCCTTAACCTTTCTTCATAGGACATTCCCCTTAGCTCTGGAACTAACCTTGTCGCAAACCTTTTCACTTTCTCTAATTTCTTGACGTGCTTGACCCGGTGTGGGTTCCAAACAGGTGCTGCCTACTCCAATGTGGGCCTGACGTACACGGTGTACAGTGTCTTGAACGATTCCTTACTAAGGTATAGGAACGCTGTTCTCAGGTTTGCCAGACTCCCACATGCTGCACCAGTTATCTGGTTGATGTGTGCTTCCGGAGACGTGCTCGGTGTTACACTCACTCTAAGATCTTTCTCCTTGAGCAAGGTTTGCAGTCTCTGACCACCTAGCCTATACTCCGTCTGCGGTCTTCTGTTCCCTTCCCCGATTTTCATGACTTAGCATTTGGCGGGGTTAAATTCGAGAAGCCAGTTGCTGGACCAGGTGTCCAGTCTGTCCAGGTCTCTTTGAAGTCCTGCCTGATCCTCATCTGATTTAATTCTCCTCATTAACTTCACATCATCTGCGAACAGGGACACTTCTGAGTCTAACCCTTCCATCATGTCATTCACATATACCAAAAATAGCACTGGTCCTAGGACCGACCCCTGTGGGACCCCGCTCGTCACAGGTCCCACTGTGATCCCTCATCACGTACGATGACTCGTTGTTGCCTGTCAGGTATTCTCTGATCCATTGTAGTGCCCTTTCTGTTATACACGCCTGATCATCTAGCTTCTGCACTAATCTCTTGTGAGGAACTGTGTTAAAGGCCTTCTTGCAGTCCAAGAAGATGCAATCAACCCACCCCTCTCTCTCGTGTCTTACTTCTGTTACTGTGTCATAAAACTCCAGAAGGTCTGTGCCACAGGATTTGCCTTCCATTAATATGTGCTGATTGGCGTTTATACTCTTGTTCCGTTCCAGGTGTTCCACCACTCTCATCCTGATAATCTTCTCCATGACTTTGCATACTGTACACGTCAGTGACACTGGTCTATAGTTTAGTGCCTCTTTTCTGTCTCCTTTTTTAAAAATGGGAACTACATTTGCCGTCTTCCATACCTCAGGTAGTTGCCCAGTCTCAAGGGATGTGTTGAAGATTGTGGTTAGTGGCACACACAGCATATCCGCCCCCTCTCTAAGGACCCACGGGGAGATGTCTGGTCCCATTGCCTTTGAGGTATCAATGTTCCTTAGCAGCTTCTTCACCTCCTCAGTTGTATGTCATCCAACACTTGTAGGTATATTCCATGCTGGTGTCCCCCTCTGTTCTGTCCTCCCAGAGGCCTTCTTGTCTCCACTGTAAATACTTCTTAAATCTCATGTTGAGCTCCTCACATACCTCTTGATCGTTTCTTGTGAGTTCCCCACCTTCTTTCCTCAGCCTGATCACCTGGTCTTTGACTGTTGTCTTCCTCCTAATGTGGCTATACAGCAGTTTCAGGTCAGACTTGACTTTCGATGCTATGTCTTTTCGTACTGCCGCTGGGCCTCCCTCCTTACCTGTGCATACTCGTTTCTGGCTCTTCGACTAATTTCTTAATTTTCCTGGGTTCTTTGACTCCTGTACCTTTTCCATTCTCTGGTGTACTTAATTTTTTGCCTGCCTACACCTTCGGGTAAACCAAGGACTCACTTTGGTCTTCCCATTTTTTCTATTGCCCTTGGGAACAAACCTTTCCTCTGCCTCCCTGCATTTTGTTGTTACATTTTCCATCATCTCGTCTACTGACTTTCCTACCAGTTCTCTGTCCTACTGAATCTCCTGCAGGAAGTTCCTCATACCTGTGTAGTCCCCCCTTTTATAGTTTGGCTTTTCCCATTCAACTGTTGCCCTCTCCACTTGTAACTCTACTATATATTAAAAACTCAGAACCACGTGATCACTAGCTCCAAGGGGATTCTCGTAAGTGATGTCCTCAATTTCTGATCTGCTCAGGGCGAACAGAAGGTCCAGTCTTGCTGGTTCATCCTCCCCTCTCTCTCTGGTAGTGTCCTTAACACGTTGATGCATGAGGTTTTCCAGTACCCCATCCATCATCTAGGCTCTCCAAGTTTCGGGACCCCCATGTGGCTCCAGGTTTTCCGAATCGATCTCCCCGTGGTTGAAATCGCCCATAACCAGTAACTTTGCTCTGCTCGAGTGAGCTCTTCTTGCCACTCAGCCAGTGTGTCCACCATCGCTTTGTTTTCTTCGTACTCCTCTC